GTAGTCCTCGAAAAGGAGATGAAGGAGGTAGATGTCAACACTGCTACTCCCGAGGAGATCGCTGCCTTTGAGGCCCATGAGCGTGATGCCACGAAAGACCATTGCATCATGCTGGTGACCATGATTGTCGAACTCCAAAAGTCCTATGAGGACTTCTAGCTCTTTGAAATGCATCAGGATTTACTAGAAAGGTACCACTAGAGTGCCAGGTAGGAGAGGTACGAGACCATCACTTCGATGATCATGACCAAGATGAGGGAGAGAGAGTCTTTCACTACTCGTCTGCAGAAGATGCAAAGATATGTCGACCGCTTGCTGAAGTTAAATGTTAGCTTCGATGAAGAGTTGGTGATTTATATAATTCTTCACTCCTTGCCTCCTTGATACAAACAGTTCCGCATAACCTACCACATGAACAAAGAGGAGGTCATGTTGAGCAAGCTTCAAGGCCTGTTGAGGACTGCTAAGAGCAACCTCAAGGACAAATACATTGTACAAAATCCTATTGCTACTATTGCCCCCGTTTTGGCTATTGGACAAGGAAAGGGTAAGAAGAGGAAGGCTCCTTCAAAAAGCCACCATAAGGGAAAGTCCCCTGATGGCACCTCTTCTAGTGGAACCAAGGATGGTCCCATTGCACCCACCTCCAACCCAAAGGATGTAGAGTGCTACTACTGCCATGACAAAGCGAATTGGAAACGTAGCTACCTGAAATATCTGTAAGACATCAAGTATGGAAAGATCAAGCCGTCCTACGCAAGTATTTTTACACTATTCAATATAATGATTCCTCACATGCTATTTCTTGGGTTAACGATACAGGGTATGGTTTTCAGATTTATTCTGATTTGCAGGGCCTAAGAAGAAATAAGGATGTGGAGAATGGAAAGATAAACTTAATCATGGGGAACAGAAGAGCGTTGCCTATCACCAAGATTGGAGTTTACTCTTTAGTGCTTAGTAATGGATTATGACTAGATTTGAATAATTGTTTCTATTCGCCTGAAATGGAAAGAAACATCATTTCTTTTCATGGTTTATATAGACAAGGATTTAGATTTTCTTTTAATAATGAAAAGGGTTCTATTAATGCTTATCTTAATGGTGTTTTCTATTTTGAAGCATTGCCTTGTAATGGAATATATGAAATTGTCATGGTTGTAGACAATTTAGGAAATGATGTGTTGTGTATCGATTCTTCCAATAGTTTGGATAAAGCATGTATGTGGCATTGTTGTCTTGGACATGTCAACAAGAAACGCACAACCCAACTCAAAAAGAATGGAGTGATGGAGTCATTCGACCTTAGGGAAGATGATGTGTGTGAATCTTGTTTGTTTGGAAAGATGACCAAGGCACCCTTCACTAGCACTAGTGAAAGGAGTGAGGGTTTATTGGATCTCATACACACTGATGTGTGTGGGTCCTTTAGATCCAACACAAGGGATGAAAGTTGCCTCTATGTGACTTTCACCGATGATTATAGCATATATGGGTATATCTACTTAATCGAGCATAAGTCAAAAACCTTTGAAAAGTTTAAAGAGTTTAAGCAGGAAGTGGAGAATCAGCTAGGCAAGAAAATCAAGATGCTTTGACCCGATTGAGGTAGAGAGTACCTTAGTCTTGAATTCCACGACAACCTTAAGAAATGCGGAATCATTTTGCAATTGACGCCACCTAGGACACCGCAGTTGAATGGTGTGGCTGAGAAGCGTAATCGAACCTTGCTGGACATGGTTCATTCCATGATGAGTTGTGCTACGCTACCTATCTCATTT